GCGCCTCGTATATAACAGTACCAGGTGCTGGCGACGCAAGTTCCTCTTCCTCCTTCGTCGTCGAGAAATCTCACGAGTAGACAACGCCATGCGCGATAAAAATAACTCGAGCCGCATCGTCGCGGTCGTCGAGCGCTTGTTTAATAGAGGCTCGCTGTTCTTCGGTGCAACAGCTGCGGGTGGTTAGATTATTACCGAACGGGATTGAATCAGCCAAGCACAAAATGAACTCAAGTCCGAGTGCGATCGAAAATACCGCCACGCGCATTTCTTGCAAATGAAACAAACTCGACGCCATCAAAGGAAAGAGAAAGAGGTAGGGAGACGATTTACAAAGTTTGGAATTACATTAACGTGCGCGCACTATTAAAGAACTAATTTGTCCTCTCTTTGAAGACAAGATCACAAACAGGAGAGATGTTTATTTTCCATGAATTGGCGAGAGAGAGAAATGGAAATTTGATTCTTTTATTCAAAATCATAGGAAATATCTGTCGTAAATAAATCCACTGTTATGATTATGATAAGAACGTGTCGTTGATATATATTTATCATTTTTCTTGCTTAGTCTGCGCAATTCTTCTCGAATAATGTATCAATTACCGAACTTCGCGGTTCAGTAAACCCAGTTGGAGTGTTAAACATTAATTTGCCTAAAATTCATTCAATATTTCCAATATTCACCGATAAAAATGTAACAATTCAGGGATTACTGTACTTTTTCCAAGAAAACTTACTGTTGCAAATCTACTTCACGTAAAACGTTTATCTTATTTTAACTTTTGGATGCAAAAGAGAAATTTTTTTCGAAAACACATTGCGGGATTTACTTTTATATAATATTCTTCCTACATATTTTCGAAGAAACTTTTTATCTTTCTAGATAATTTTTAAAGAAATTTTAAGACTATCAATCAAAAATTATCAGAGTCACTTTTATTATCCGAGTTCTTTTTCAAAATTTATTACGGTTTTAATTTATTGCAGTTCTACAAACAAAGAAAGTCAGTGTGAGCGATAACAGAAGATATTCTAGTTAGTGTTCTGCACAGTTTAGCCATTAATTTAAAATATAAATGAATGCGAATAAAACGATATGTAAACCAAATCCCTTCTTAGCAATGTATGTGAAATAATAAATTATTTTATTCTATTTATTAAATAATTCTGCATCAAAGAATTGTTAATTTTTCAAATTATTGCACAAAAAACAAAAGACGATAACAAATACAAGCACACGGAGAGAAGATTTTTTTCTTAGTTGACCCTGAAAATATGATAATCGTGGGACAACATTGTATTTCGAAGAATTTTAATGTATAATAAGTTTCTCTTCATTCATTAATAAAACTTCATCAATAAAATATAAATAAAATAAATTCGATTAATTTTACTGAAGTACATGATAAAAATTTTTTAAATATTGTATTGTACCACAACTACCATATTTTCGGGGTAAATTTTAAAACAAAATTCTCCCCGTGCATTTTCCACGAATAATTCTAATTTGACGTTCTTAAGAAACGAAACTACTAATCGTGTTTGCTCAATATATCTCTCTCGTTTAAACGAAATTCCATTTCAGTGTTCACGTTTTTCTTATACATCTTTGTCAACCAAGTGATCATCCATTATAGTCAATTCTCTAATAAAAAGTATTATCGATCAATACCTTAAGAAAACGTACAATTTTCTGATAAACATTCCGAAGATTCCAAGTATGAATCAAGTGACACTTACAAGAAATTTTATTATACCGTCTTATCATGGAGGTCATCGTCTCTGGATTACTATAATCGCGGCTGTATCTCACAAGCGTGAGTCCTCTTATCGAGGAATCCGTCGTGCCGTTTCCGGGACGCAATGGCGTACGATCGTCACAACCAACACGAGATCTAACGAGCAAACGCGGTTCCATACGCGGAAAGATCGCTCATCTCCCTTGCGGCAACCGTAAAACCGCGAAGGACGTTGCAATTTCTCGCGGTGGATGTGGTTGCAGCAGCTTCATTCTCCTCTTTCCACCGTCGTTTTTGTCGTATGTCTCGGTCTCAACAGCGTTTAACAACAAATCAAATAAAAAAAAATATGCGCGTTCTTGGATAAAAATTCTTTTATGAATTTTTCGTCTAAAAGTCTATCATCTTACACAAATAAAATCAATTCCATATTTTCGTTGAGTTTAAGCGAAATTTCAATAATCCCGTCGAGGTAATATTTTTTATTCTTTATAAGGTGCTTATATTAACACCATTATTAAAATTGACGATCAATGTGTATAAGTGATATTATTTCCAGCTTCAGTTTACGATTGCGTTTCGAGTTCGGCCGAATCGAATTGACGAACCTATAGAATTATAGAATTAAAAATATATTTATAGCGTTGAAAGACATATTTGCAAAATTGGCTTCGATCAAAAATAAAATTCTTTTTCTTATTCGATAAAATTCAAGATACAATTTTGTCTTTGAACAGAAAATTGTGTGGATGAGCCTCTCGATGTAAAGGAAAAAAAAAAATACTTGATTTTGCAGTTATTTTTCATTGGCGACATCGCGAAGAATTATGGACCAGAGTAAGAGAGTAAAACCGGAAATCGACTGACGAGACAGTTCACCCCACGAACGGAATGCTTCGATGTCTGTACATGCTGTTGGTCTCACCAACTTCGTCCTCCCGCCTTCGTCTTTCTGCATTACCACACGGCCGCTAACTCAATTGGTATGCGACTGCGCAAGCCCGCCAGATGCACAACCGCCGTTGAGGTCAGTGTGCGGTGCCGGCGGTGCGTTGTCTAGCCGAGTTTCAACCGAGCGTGCATGTTGTATTGTAAAAAGAGAGAGAAAAAAAAATACGTGCATCTCGTGCAGCGAGTCTCGGAAAATTAATCCCGACTCCACTCCAATCATTCGAGACTGACAGTTCGAATTTTCGCATGTATCATGGAAACTGTCGGAATATATACGAGTATATATACATGCGAAATTTTCAAACTGAACAATACGTCTCTGTCGGACTTATCGGAACGTACGCGGTCGGAGTATAATCGAGGCCGTTGAACGCAGAACAAGATGAAAGGCACGTGGGTGGGAAAAGAGGAGAAAGGCTACGCAGTTCTCTTCCCTTAATACGATATTTATCTTCCCCTTCTCAGAGAGAGAATCTGCAAAAATCAAGCTGGTTGCTGCGCGGGGTCTTCAATTATCCTTTATAGGCGGTACGAAGTGAGTACTGACGAGGTGCCCGGAGACGGCCGAAGAAAGTGCAAGGCAAGAACCGGCTCGAGAGATGGTAGACCCCCTACCGGTTTTACTTGGTCCCCCTGTGTAGTAGCTTATTCAAGCCCGCCGCCCCTCTCTGGCTTCCCCTCCCCTTCCGTCTCACGTTGAGTAGTCACGAAGAGAGAACCCTCTCCTTAATTGCAGCGGGACGACCGGAAAAAAAAAATGCTCGATGTGGCTTCTGGGTTCTACTTTATTGCGCGTTGACTCTCGCATACGACTCGGAGCATAAAATTAAATGTCACGCGCGGAAAAGTGCAACGGAGGCCCCGATCGCGTCCTATATTTAGCGCCCGTCGCGCGAAGCGTTATCGCTCCCGGTCGATCCGAGCTGAAACTGATCGAGAATTCAGACCCCATAGATCTAGAGTTTGTCTCCGGCAAAATATTGCTCCTGCATTATGTGATACATAATGCAGGACCGCATGGAATTATTAATTATCAATAAGAATTATCGCAAGGATGATTCAAATTATCCAAGAGTTCCGTCATTCAAATATTAAGCATTTTGATGTTACAATATTGTCGAGATAATTAAGAATTTGCTATTATAATATATTAGAAATATGTTTATTAGAAACATTTGCCTTTTTCTTTATCACCATGTATATTAAATAACGCCTATGTTCCCTCGTTATCGCATAGTTATCGCGCTGCGTTTAACTTCACACTTGCATTCGCATCGTTCACACGTGAAAATTAAGCGAAAGGAAAAAATTTTTAAATAATATCCGAAGACTGTAGCTTTAAAGAATAGTAAAATTAAATATGTAGAAATGTATCCATAATTGAGAAAAATTATTGTTTTCGTAAACGATCAGATTTATGAGACAAAGCTTAAGACGCTACAGGTGTTATCTAACGCGCGTTATCCGCGAATCGCGTTCCACCGGATGCGAATGAAGACGACGAAGGAGCAGATAAGAAGGCGGCGAAGACAGAGGAATCTTACGAGCTGGAAGCTCGCGGACGAGGCAAAGAGAAGGACGCGATGAAGCGAAGAAAAAGACGGAAGGGACTGGGAGAGAGAAACCCGCGAGGAGCGAACAAGAGCGAAGAAGAGAACGAAGACACAAAATGAAGGACGGGGGAATCGTCTCGGGGGCCGTACCACGGCTACACCACGGACCTCTGGCATTCCCGATCATTATTCCACGGGTTTGCCGAGGGAGAGGAGGATGGCTTCAGGCTTGTCCTTGGCACGGAAGGCAAGGTTAATCCCATTGCATCTCGGAAGCGTGGTGATCTACCGATCGACGACGAGTTGTTTTGCTACCGAATTGCGCGTATTTGGTATCAGCTCGAGATACGATTTATCACGAAAGAAACTTTATAAAAAGACGAGGAGCTTCTTATTTAAATATATTTGTAGTTGAAAGTAATTCCCTTCGAATCTTAATGCTAACAATAATACTCTCTAAAGTCTTTGGAGTAGAATCTCACGTTCTGAAGAGTAAAAATTGAGCCAGTCTTGATAAAGAGTTGCTCAATTTTCCATCTTTAAGGACGATATTCATAGTCAGCTCTTATCTTATTGAAAATCATCTTAAGTTCAGCCTTGAGGTGTCACGAATCAATTAGAGGGCCGCTTTAATGTCTTAAGACGTTACTTAAGGCGGTCTTCAAATAAGAATCGACTATGAATACCGGTCTAAGAGTGAGATTTCACTCTTCGAAGTGAGATTTACTCTAAAAGGTTTAGGAGTAGGTAAGCGTACCTTGTGCGCGAAATTATCGTCTCTCTCCTGGTCCTTCTTCAAAGCGCTTCTTACGCTATCGAAGTCGCTCGTTGTCTTAAAAGTCGTGCTGTAGTTGTTACTCAGTACCTCGGCAGGTGGCTTATAATCGCGGTATCCGGTAGGTGAGGGTGTCTTCTCGAAGGATCGCTCTATAGTTGCGGGCGTGAGACCTCCGGAAATGACATTCGTGACAGTGGAAGAGCGATCGTCGTCCATTTCGAATACGTCGTCGCTCATGCTATCCTCGGTTGTCAAAAACTGCGAATCATAATGCAAAAGCATCTTTTAACATTTCTGATTTCTGTGTTTAACGTCACTGACTAACATAAATATGTAATTTTAACATAAAATTTATAATTTACTTATTTTTGATCAATTATTTGTAAAAAAAAATATATTTAATTCACAGAAAAAAAGTCACATTATCATTAAAGCCCAAAAAATTAACCAATTACTTAATTAATGTACAACTTTAAGGAATAAGAATAAAATTTAGCTACTCAAATCCCAATAGTATACAATTCTCACAAAAGTTCTTTAAACGGCCGATCGAGAAAATCCAGTTCGCTATTTTACTGTGATTACAATCCCTTCGATCGTTTTCGAGTGTCGTATAGATCGCAAAGAAATCGTTCGCGGTCTTTCTACCTACAGTAACTTTCCGCGAAACGAGTGCCGCTTGTCGCATTATCGAAGCCTACCGGAGAAACCAGTTCGGTGGATGCTCTTCGTAAATGCCATTGCCGCGCAGCGAATGCTGAAATAACTGTCCTTCGATCGACCGACATCTCCATCTTCGAAGAACGTGCCGTAACGCCACGGCCTTGTGTAGTACTTAAAGCCAATTAGTAGTTAGTCCCCGACGACTCCGATATAGAGACTAGATCACTGCATGGTTGCGCGCGATCATAAAATGACACTATATAAGATGGGTACCTGAACTCTTTGTGGAGTCACGAATGCGCTCACTAAACTTTCGTGTAGGCAATCGTGGAGTCAATCACAGACAAAAATTGTCATGTGAGAACTTTTAACTCAACTTGAAATATTTGACATATTCAAAGTACGATAAGGTAAAAGACTCGTTGTAAACGTGTTCGTGACGTCTTAGTCATAACGTCAGCAGTCTCTTGAAATTGAAAGGGCTCGCGTGGAATCGATAAATTTACATGGTGGAAAGCAAACTGGCATACATGATTTATGGTTCGCACTGTTCCCTGCGAAGAGGCACCGAAGAAGTCCGATATAATCTCCTGGGTAGCCAGCTCCCCGCTGAATATTTTAGCGGATACACTTCATGAAGGTTACTTTAGCGACGTCTGACTACTTCGATTCTTCACGTCGCGCGCCTTAATGGCCTTTATCGATAGCACGTACAAATGATAGCGCAGCAGTAGTTTACTATTATCATCGTTACATTAGTTCTCGTATTTCGATTATGAATTAGCATTATGAATTTAATATCTCTTTATTTTATATTGCAATATATTTTTATATATAAAAGTAAAAACATGTTTTGTCATTTTGTGTGTTCTTTATTTTATTCTATGTGTCACATAAAATCATACATTTTGTATATGTACACCCATGTACAAAATTTTTCCCCAATTTTTCCCCAATTTTTCCCGATCCCTTTTTCCCTCTTACTTGTTATATGTATAATATTGATATTGTAGAGTTGTGCACTGATCTCGTAATTTGAATTAATTTATACTTTATGCTACAGTTAAATCACGTAACAGTATGATGGGATAAAGTAACTGGAATGTTATGGTAATGAATACCCGCATTGTCCCAACATCGCTTCCCTTCCGAAATAATTCCATTTCATTTTACCCCAATGTTAGACCGCCCTTCATTAATCCCATCCCTGAGATATCACGTGACGTGCTACTTTTATTGTGCGAAATCAGTTCAAACACCAAACAGATTTGCTTTCATGTATGTAATACGTTGATATATAAAAAATATAATAATTGATATTAAAAATTATAATAAATGATTTATTACGACCGTATATATGAATATACAAGTAAGCATATTAAAGCCTATAATGGTTGAGTTTATAAATCGTACTGTTCGGAAAAAAAATACACGAAAATAAGATTAATCATTTTACGTAGTTTTTTGGATGTTGAATACAAATCCAGTTTCCAAATTCTTTTCTCACGTCACAATTTTGAAAACCGGATTCGTATTCAACATTCAAAAATCTAAAAAAAAAGAAAGCCTACTTTTGTTCCGATTAGTTATTTTTTATTTAACAATATTATCAATAGTATTAGAATAAACGTATTTGTGCGCGTAGATATCGATTTGGAAAAGCAATTCTGTTAATGGATGACCGAGATACGAAATGGTCTGTTTCGGCGTGTATAAAGAGCAAGAATCGATGAAGCAAAAAAAGGAGATGGAAATTACAGCTTTAGAAGTGCACTATTGATCGAGCCAGACGCTTAATCGAACACGATCGATGGTGACCTGTGTACGACTACCGGACTCTTGGGATACTTGTTGCACCGGTTCTCCACATTCATTACTCAACTGACGGTTGCCCATATACCGGTGATAAAGTCGGCAGCGATAATTGGGTTGCGAAAGTACCGTCGCGATACCACGACACCTCGGCAACCTCGCGTGGTCGATCGATTCTCCCAAGAATAAATTCACAGTTACAAACTGGATCAAGTGTTTTAAAATTTTCAAGTTTTTGATACAGTAAAAAAAAACATTTAAAAAAGTTTTGATACATAATCAAAACAAATCTTTACAATTTTTATATTATTTAAGAATTCAAATATTCGTAAAATAGTGGACTTTTCATGAATTTCTTATATTTGTAATACTTATTCAATTGCGTAAGTCACTTTACATTAAGGATACTTGTACTTACATTAACGGACGCCGAAGCGGGAACAGCAATTGTGTTTGGACCATCACCAGCACCACCTCTCATCGTGCTCTTCTAAACGCGAATATCGTCTCTCATTAGATAACTGCAAATAACAAAATGCTATCCGTTAGTATATTCTATTTAATCAATGAATAAAGATAAACGGCGTTATATTAGAAATTATAATGTAAAACTGTGTATGAATTTTAAAAAAAATTCTCTTCCAAAAATAAATGCAAGGAGTATACAGTCATACGCAGGATGTTTTTTGCGAATGTCATATATTTAAAATTTTTACGTTAACAATATAAAATTATTATATAAACACTTCGGCTCATATCAGGTCATCTTCAATATGTGGTATAAATAATTTATCAATAATTCGTAGTCGTAAAAATAAAGGAATAAAAATAAAGGATTAAAATAAATATTAGGTGTTGGAATTAATTCGTAGCGTTTTACAAGTGATGGGAAGTACTTTCATTAATGTATTTTTTAATGTTCATGTAAAATAAATAACATTCTTTCATTAAAAAACGCTACGAATTAATTCCAACACCTAATAATTAAAAGTTCGTTGTAATCTACGCTTGTGTAAGTTGTCAAAAATAATTTTCTTCTGTTAGTCCTAATGAGAGATTTATTGAAACGACAGTAAAAAAAAAAATTTTTTTTCATAGAGCTCTCAGTAATCAAAATAATATTATAATAAATCGGGCAAATTAAAACCAATATATGGTTATAATTTGTGTCTTTTATACAATTTTCCTTTTCTATTTATTCATACAATATAATAATTGATCAATGTTTCGGTTGCTCTTTAGCCATCTTCAGTATTTCTAAACATGGACACATGTCTAACGACTATCTTAGAATTATATAATTATATTGTCACTGTAGATTTTTGTAACAGAATGCAGCAATTTCTTAAAACCGTACTTAACAATTTTGACATTGATTAAGAAGAACTGTGCTCACAAGGGCTTCAATGAGGAATCACTCAAGGTTTTTGGAAATGCATTTGGCATTTATTTATTTATTGAGAATAATTGGACTTAGATTCACGTTGGACTCATGTTGGATTATCCTGAAGATGGCTATAAAAAGCAGCCGAAACGTTGATCAATTACTGTATATTGTATGAATCAATAGAAAAGAAAAATTTTTATAAAAGACACAAATAACAATCATGTATTGATTTGTCCGATCTAATTTGTCCGATTTATTGTAATATTATTTATTGAAACGTTATGTGAAACACCAAATTTCCAGATTTTAACTGAGAGTAAAATATCCATTTTAAAAATATTCTCTTCCCCACAAAGTTTCGGAAATAAAATATAATTGCTCAATTATTACTGTCATAAATATTTCAAACATTTTATTATAGCATATTAAAAAAAAAATCAGATTTTATCTCTCGATCCCTGCATAAGTCTCTCTTCTACGAGAAGTTTATACAAAGGCGTTATCATAGTTCTAGGCGACCGATTCTATAGTTCGAGTGTAAATTTACTCGAAGGGTGCGAGTTTGCTTCACAAGATCAAAGTTCGACTAGTGATATATATACCGTGATGAAATCATCGCATCAATTCCGGTCCCAGTCGAGGAAAATCGAGGAACCGCATTCTGCAAAGCTCTCCACCCTGCCTGAATTCGAGTGGTTCTATCCATTCAATTTCAACCCTTCTTCGACATCCACGCATTTTCACGCAACATTACAATAAGCATTCATGAGGACATCTCTCTATCTCTCATTCTATCGATACTCCATCAATAAGATGTCATTTCTTTTTCGGAAACACAGCTTTTCCTCTCGCTTCTTCTCTCTTTCTTCCTTTTCATCATCACGTTTCACAGCCTAACACGATCTATGTTTCCTACACTCGTTCTGCCATCCCGATCTCTCCCTTCCTCAACAACACGTGTGCTTTCTCATCGTCCTTTTTTCCCCGACCATCCGCCGAAAACTTCACAATCACGCACGCACAATCATCTTCACACACTCACACATATACGCTGCACGCACATAAAACGTCCCGCGTGACATTCTATCCCTCTCAGGTGCACACACTTAGCTTAACCACATTCGAGTGTCGTTCGTCACACGCCCGACAACAGGACTACTTTTCCATCCTTTCTCCCTCACTCTTTCACCCGTAACATCTTCACGCTTCGTTTCATCGTTAGTCTTCCGCGCTCTCTCGCTCTCACTTGCGCCATTACGGTTCTTCAGCCTCTTTGTCACGCGCACGATCAGAGAGACCGGCACGCTGTTCATCTCTGTCGTACACTCTCTCTCTATCTCTCGATGTGGCCTACCCACCGCAATAAGTTCCACCCGCCCACGTTACCTTTCACGCACTTCTCGCCGGCCGATCATCCCGTTGCGGATCGGGAAGCAGGCGATTCGCTTACTTATCTCACCGCTCGATCTTTCGACCAACTCGATCGACTGACTGTCCGAAAAAGGGAGACAAAGGAGCATTTTTATTTCCTTTGCCGAAACCAATCGGATATAATGCCGCTGGGATATCTGATAATAATTATGCACACGTAATTGTAAATTTGTAGAGTAAAATTAAAAGCTCAAAATTGAGAATAATTCGTCATATTTTTCGTCAAACTCATAAGGCAATTTTTTTTAATTTTTTTGAAATCTTTTTTTTTTTTTCGAATAATATGTAAATTCTTCTTAAATTGTGTAATTTTTTTTATCGATTTCAGCTTAAATTAAGCCATTTGAATGTCGTCATAAAGTAACAGGACTGACTCGACAAATACGAAGCATCCAAGATGGAATAAAAAGCGGCTTTTCTAGTAGAATGCATCGTTGATTTTCTAGGGAAATTATCTGCCCTTGAAGTCGGTACTCAGTACTCTTTCTCGGTCGCCTGATTTCTTCTCCGATTTTCACAGCCAGTCGAGCGAAACGTACTCATGGCCGGAAACATTAGTAGAATCACGCTCGAGAAACAAAGGATGTCATTATTTTAATCGATAAAGTTATTGATATGGTTTGTGAAGACGTTCGCGCAAAATAGATTTTATTTCATCGTTGGTTTAATATTCATTGATCAATCGATACGTAGTAATCGATAATAAAGAATTAAATGCTCCAGATTTTTGACAATTTTAATAAATATGATTCATCAATAAACGCAATATTTTTTTTATTACCCCCCTCATGTTTTAAGAGTGAATACTTTTATTGAAATATTTATTAACTCCCGATTGACTATAAAAATACACCTAAATTTTAAACACCCCCTTTAAAGTAAAAAATGAACATTTACCTTAAGGATTAATGGAGAAAGATTCAAAATTTGTTTATCTACAATTTAGGACATCATAATACTAATTGTGTAATAGAAATTTACAATCGTCTAAAAATTTTCGTTTCAAACCAAACGCTACAGTTCAAAATTCACGTAAAATAATACGCTAAAAAAGTCTCAGAATTTTTAAAATACATTCATCACGCATCTTAATTTTTTAAACGTAGTCAAATAAAACGACAACTGTAAAAAAAAGATCATTATGGTACAAAAAGAAATTTTTTTTATTTCTTCATTAGATTTTCTTCTATAAACAGTTTTTAACGTCGTGTATAATTTTGTAATATTTTTAATTAACAAGTTAATTGACAAAGTAACCTCGTTTATTTCCTCAATCGATTCCCGCGTTGCACTGGCAAAAACGCCACGCACGAATACAACGGGACGGTAATACACTTGGGCTTCACGGAATCGCGCCGGCGCCGACGCCGTATCTCGTGCTACGAAATCACATCGAGAATTTGATTGCACGATGCTCGCGCTGGCCTTAATGAGAGCGAGCCTCCGATCGAGTAAACCTAAAGGCCATCGGGGTCCGTCGCGTCGGATCGTTCGGATCTTCGCGGCACGATCGCGCGCACCATAAAAGCGCTCTTTCTATATTTAGCTACGGCTTCATACATATATTCCCCACCTACATCGCCGCCCTCTCATTTGTTTTACGAGTCCGCGCGCTACGCTTTCATTATGTTTACACACGCCCCGCGAAATTGTCGCGCGACGCAAATTATTAGACCAGTTTACCGATCGCGTTAAATGATTACGCAACAGCCGCTTGTCCGAACATCTCACAGGAATCGATACTAGAAAAATGCCTATTACGATAATCTTTTTAGAATTGCGCGCTGAATTGATAAGCCTCGGTGGTATAATGGCTTAAGACGCTTGTACGGAATACGAGAGATTTGGATTCAAGTTTCGACCGAGGTAACATTTTTCGCAATAAATTTATTAACAGTTTCACCATATTAACATCTTTATAATATGATGCTTGATGGTAGTATCAAATTATTGAATTGCTGGTCAATTTAATTCGCGATTACTAGAGTAGTTTTATAATTGCATTTATAGCCCGGAAAAACAATTCGGCGCGCAGTTCTAAAAAGACTACAATATGATATATATGCAAGTATATATAATGTATATTAGTAATTAAAGATTGAATTATTTAAAGCAATGAAGATCCTCGACCGTAATAGGCATTTTTCTAGTATTGATTGTGTTTCTCACATATGCGGTCTAAAATAAAGATTCTTAATATTATTTATCTCACAGGAATATCCTTTTCTCGATGCCAGTCGCATAGCTGGTCGCGAAATCGTGATGTCTTAAAGGCGTCATCACACGAAAAAAAGTTTTAATTGTAATCGTAAGATCGTACGAGAATGATCGATCAATTATGATCGAGCATTCTAAAATGTAAGATTAGATAATGCTAAATTATAAAGTTAAAAAGTTAATTAATTTTGCAAACTTTATTTAGTTATATTTTAGAGCCTCTTAACTTTTTAACTTTATATAGTTATATTTTATCGATAACTATTAATTTTTAATTTTTGATTTTTTAAAATTTAATATGAGAGTTGAGTTATACAGATCCTATACTCGGATTATATGTTTATACTATTATCATGTCCGTCGGAAATGTATTTTTCTAATTTTAAATAATTTCAAATTTTTCAATTACGTTTAAACAAAGAATAAAGAAGTTTGAAAGCAATCTGTCGTGACCTAAAATCATGATTTTCTCGAAAAATACAGAAGTGCAATTTACTACTTTATAGGGATTATTATTTTTTGGTACCCCAAAATAATCACGTGAAAGTTAATCAAAATCCATAAACTACATATGTGAGTCTTCTTGTTAGTTAAAAAAGTTAACTTTTTAACTTAATTTTTTAATTTAATTAAAAAAAAGTTTTAAGTTTGAAATCGTGAAGTAAAATAAATTTAACTTTTAATTAATAAATAATAAGGCTCTGTAAGTATAAAACAATGTAGTCAAAAGAAGGGCAAAGAGATAGTAATGTAGCAAAGAACTTTAATTTAAATTAAATCATAAAATTCGTAACAATTACAATTAACAAAAACAAACGTTTTGACTCCGCTCGAGTCATTTTCAATGTTGCCGCAATATTTAACTTTTAACTATTCAATTACTTTTTCAATTACTAAATGTCACTATGGATTAACTTTTATCTTAACTAAAGTTAAATTTTTAAGACTGTTAACTTTAACTAAACTTAGTAAAAAAAATTAACTTACCCAACCCTGCTAAAATGTATAAATAATCGATTTATTTACAGCTTTGCGGTTATCCCACAGCATATCGCAATCAATCATCGAAAGTTCCTCTTTTCCGCGAAATGGAAGGAAAGGAAGGATTCTAATTGGTTGATTCTCTTATGCGTTATGCAAAAATCTGTGCTTACGGCCTTACGACTAAAATTTTTGTTACGTGATTTTAGATATTGATTTATCCTCGTGTACGATTCGCAACGTGTCCGTCGTCTAAGTTATCCTGGGAACGAGAGATCGCATCGAGTCCTATTGTTATCGTCATTTCGAAGTCACGTCTATGACCTCGCACAGCGCACCCGTGATCGCTGCTTTCTAATCTGCATCTATACGATGTGGTCGTAGATCGCGGCTTTTAACCGCAAATTCTGTCGGCGTAATAAATTATTTCTTGTTCATTATCTAGCAGTCCAGTTATCAGCCCGCAGGGAGATTTCCCTGCGATCAATCGTGTACAGAACTGCGATTAATGAAATAAGGAAGTGAAGAAAGTAATCGTAATCGCTACAAGCGAAGATTACTTTCTCATACTATACTTATTTGTATCTCAAAAAGGCTATTGAAGCAATCAAAAGAGCGCCATTATTATTAATTGATTTTTTGTAAAACAATAAGTTTTTTACAGTATTTTCATGCTTATTAGCATCATTATTAAATTAACAATTTGATTTATGATATGTTATTTCAGCATTTATGATTGCGTTTCAAGTCGGACAATAATAGTTTATATAACTGGAATGTATTTAAAATTTATATATGAAAAATATTATTAGGCACCGATATTTCATTCTATTTGGCCCTTCTTTACTTATTTCATTTAATCATATAACGATCTAGCTCATCTTATTATTGTATTAATTTTGTTTAATTGATTATTGATTTTATTCCTATAAATATTTGTTTATTTTACATTCAAAAAGAGAAAAGCAAAACTACGTTATAAAAAACAGAAACTCGGTCAAACGCCTGAACTGAAGTTATGAATGCTCGACTACTTGTTACACTTTTCGCCGCACATGCGCATTGTCGGGAACAATCACAATTACAAAATATAACATTCTTCACATTTTGTTGCTCTCTTTTGTCTTATTTTTATGAATAATGATTTGAAAAACTTCACTAAAGTCCAATTAAGCTATTAAAAGTATTAAAATAAAATTAGAACAAGGGAAAGAATTATAATTGATACTTGAAGGCATTTTAAATACTTAAATTATGGAATAATGAAATTGTAGAATATTAAATTATAGAAAATTAAATGTAAATAGTTAAATATTGTATAAATTAAGCTCGCTCAGCTTTCGTTATTTCTACGCTACTGCCGAGATGTTCCGTGGACATAGACGGTGACTTTGAAATAGCGCTTCGATATTGATTAAATGTCATTACGAAAGTCTATGTTCGTCCCTATGTGCGTGTCGCTCCGTCGACAGTGGACGCCAAGGTCGCGTATTAACATTACGTATTTCTATTTCCAGTAATACGTGCGTGCACATGATAGCATTACGTGGCAAACAGCGCGCAGATTAAATCTCGCCTACTAATGCTATCGCGCGGAATGCATCTTCGCCGGATATTTCTGTCGGGAAATTACCCCGAAGTTACTGTCGGATACCATCAGCCGTGCGCTGATCCCTGACGAAATCGATCACAGAGATATCTCATTTACGGCATGTTTCAAGAAATAAAAGCGAGTCACTTTCGGAATGAGATTGCCGAAAGTGACAGCTGTTCGCGAGTTTTGGAAGCACGACCCGCCAAGAAATTCACTTAAATCGTGTTCAGAAATTTCATCCGAATATATCTAGGTGTTATCTTTATTATTCACTAAACGTTAAAGAATAAAATAACAAGAATCAAATAATAACTGGGTGCATCCGGGTGCTGAATGCAACCCTAATAGGAGAAACGTGAAGGATGATATCACATGATTGAATTAATCCGTAATTATTCTAATTGACCCTACCTTCAATGAATCTGCAACCCCTACTGGCGCGCGCCA